CGAGCGCTTTGGAACCTCTCCCGAAGCCCTTAATGACAGTTCCTGACACGAAGTACGGTAATGCTTTGCTACCCATAACTTTCCTTTATTCCACACTAATCGGTACTAATCCGCAGATAAGTCTGCAAAAGCTGCTGAGATAAACTAACGATAATAATAATATGACGTGGCATATCCTCATAGGATATATCGCGCGTTGTATTAACCGATACTAGGTCTCATATTTTTGCAAATGTGTATTATATGAACAGAAGTCGAAAAGTCCTAATCTATCCTGAAACATTATAATATTTGGAAAATATATCTTTTTTGCAAAGTAAATTTATAACAAAAGATTAGCATTAGTTGCATTTTTTTTATTTTTAACATTAAAATTTGCAGATAAAAATTACTAAATAAAAGATAATAGTTTGATATCTTTAATAGTCTGATATGTCTAATCTGATATATCTAATAGCAACACTATATGTCAACGCCATTTTGTGAGCATTTTTAATTGTTAAAAATTGTAAACAATTTTTTTTTTTTGTTAATCAAAATGCACGCCACATGCACACACTCAAGAAAAAAGAACTACCTACAGATGCAATGAAAAATATTTTACTGTTGCAATTTAAGCTATTTTTTAAATTTTAGATATCAATCATATTGAAATATTATATTATGTAATAAAAATTACATTATATCATTGAGCAATTAAAGAAATATATTTTTTAATTACACGTTTAGACGTATATACTTCATGCAGCTCGACATCAAAGTCTTACAAGCATTTGCAATATATTATATGTATACATTATCAAGTTATTATTATAGAATATTTTTGTCGTAAGAACGTACCCGCCATGATTTCTCTTGTAATTCTTTTTATTTACTATAAAACTATGTTTTTTAACAAATTGCAAGAGAATATATATGTATACGTATATGTGAAATATCATCGATCGCTCGAATAATGTTCAATGAACGAACGAATAATTATTAGACAGAAGACAACAAAATCTATTTTTTTTTTTAATAGCATTTTTTTTGCGCGCGATGATATACTTTTTATAATGATTAATAATATATATCTAAGGGAGGATAATTTAAATTAATATCAATTAATTTAAATATCACATATATATATAGAAAATCCTGCAACGACTTAGAGAGATGCCCTTATAACAAAATTATCTATAAAGATTTTACATTTATGCGATATTAAAATCTTTCTTTTTTTGTCACTTCATTTTTTTCGATTCAATTTTGCGGCACAGATATTGTGTAATACTACAGCCATGCATTCATTTATCATACAAAATATGGGGTAGATTAGGATATATTTTTTTTAAATTCTATATATACGTACGTGCGTATATCATAAAGAGATTACAAAAATCAAGTTGCGTGAACTTGCTATAATAAAAACATAAAGATAAAAAAATATTATTTATATAAATACAAATAAAGTTAAAAGCAGAACAAAACAATTTTCTTTTCTTTAAAGTTAAAAAATGTTTTTTAGTCTATAATTTATAGTGGTTCTTTAGTTAGTAATTATGCTGAACGATCATCGTGTTCGATGATGATAACGTTATCATTCGAGAATAAATTAATTTATAAGCATTATACATATATAAAAAAAATTTGATATATACTATGAATTTAGAGGGGGGAAAAAAAAAAATATTATTGGAAATATAAAAAGACGCCAAGAATCGATGCCAATATATTGACGAAACGAGCATGTTTTTAGAACTCAAAAAAAGAATGCATTCAAAAAAAGTTGTACTATTTATACTGTAATTGTATTATAATATATAATAATTATATATTCCAAATACACGAAACGCAAGTTGAACACGATGAGCTTGCATCTCTTCTTGCCGGATTTAATCGTGGATTTTTTAATACGCTCGATCTTAAAAATCACGGATATAAAGAGTATACTCCCATATGGCGTACACAAGCGAGATATTGTAGACTCTGATAGACTTTGATTCAAACTCAAAAATTGAAACCGCGATATTTGATACATAACTATATATATACATTATACATATAATTCCGATATGAATATATAATATATAAAATATATAATTTCCATTAATTTAATTTCTAACGTTGTAGATGCATAAGGAAAAATATGCAAGAATCATGTTCTCGTGTTTATACATGAAAATCGAAATCGAGAATTGAGACCAATATTAATAACGAGATTTGAATTATTTAAATACCATAAATGAAAAATCCCTTACGCCGAGTTTCAATTGTCACAAATAAACATAGAGATCTTTTTTTATACTTTTACATTAAAACCGGAATAAAATTATACCAATTTCAATCCTTGTTTGAATTTCTGTATATAAAAAAAAAAAAAGAAAAATATATATCGCGGATATTTTTATCGTGCTTTTTACACGTACTACGTATGAAAGAACTCTCACGGTACGATGTAAAGTTAACATGTCTTTATTACATGTGTAAAATGACCCGGCAGCTCATTTTAACAACGGCGTTATTATTATTATCATCATTATTACGATTTTTTCAACTCTCTATGGCTCAATTTAAGCTTTTGCAGGCGCATACATTCACATTCGCGGAGACTATCTGATTCGATGTCTTTTCGAGTTGCTGCATGCGGCGATAGAAATTTTTTTATCCTTTTCTTCCTTTCTGACGTGACGGTCTTTTCTAGGAAATGCGCAATTTATTTATTATCAATCTAATTTGGAAAGCGCAGATTTCCAGATATAGATTAAACAGATTCACAAGGCATGCCAGCTACATTATTACTATTACCCTACTTTCGTATCATTATATTCATCTCATTACTAAAAATAATATGATAACTACTAATTATATAATGATATTTATATCACTAATTATAATGATCAATTAGCTGAAATGGCCATTTTTCGTGTGAGTAGGAATAATTAATAAGTAAATAATATTTAAATCTATCTCTCTTCGTAGCTTTAATTTCTAATATTTAATATAAGTGCTTATCGTATCTATGTTCAACAAGGTATCCTCGACAATTATTAACGTAACAACTTGCCAGCAGCGCAAGGGCTAAATGTATCTTAATATTTCTCTCCTTCTCTTCTTTTATTTTTCTTCCTCCCCATCTTTTGTGGCCGCAACAGTATAATCTTTTTAATTAATCCCAAGGTCAATGAGTTAACAACGCAACATGTTATGCAAGCATTACTGAAATCCTGTAATATCGATTATATTTGGCAAAGCGACATGTAAACTCGCTGCTTATTTTTGCTGTTTGCAATATATAGGCCCCGCGCGCGGAGGCATACTTTTTTTTCGTGAATGCATTCCACAGGCATCTAGGCACAACAGATATAAAAGTAGTACACTCAGAAATATTCAGATATTCTCGTAGCAATCTATTATTTTTAAAATAGCACTATCATATACATCCTAAGATAACGCGCACCAGCGTATATTCTTTTCCCTTCGTCATCTCATTTATTCGTTTCTCCTTTAACTACAACGAGCCTGTAGTGTTAAAGCAAGTACGTATATTTATATATGTATATATCATTTGCACATAAATGGAAACATTATTCGCAAGATTGTTAACACAACAAGCTCGCATAGCGCGCATAGTATGGGTTACAACATCGAGCATACGTTTATATCTTCGCGATCACATTCCCGCACACACATAATCTCTCTCATCAGTATATAAAATCTTTTGTAGAATATACCAAATCCGTTACAACCGCAATATCCATAATCATCTCATCTTACGTACCTTATCCGTGTATTATTTTATTGTTGAGACGTAGCAAGAAAGTAGCATCCCAAAGTGCCTCCAATGTGATGGAGATTCTACGAGTAATGTATTTAGAGCCCTTTTCGTTTACCGTATGCATATCTTATATAACAATGTGATTATAGTTCCACTCACAGCTGTAATTTTCTTTTTCTCGTAATGAAGAAATAAATACAACGCATTTCTACGAAGAATAAAAGTCTCTTCTTCTGTAAGCTTTTATGAATACCTATATACTGTCTCTCTGAATCGCACAATGCGCGGCGGGAAAGAGCAGGGTTTTCTTTTTCTCTATTAAAGTAAACAAATACAATGTGATACATGCTGAAATAATAATACGGTTATTGATTTCGCACAATGGGATTCTTGTTGCCAAATTGTTTGCGTTCTTATCGCCGTTTTCCTCTAGAAAAAAAGCTAACTTCCGATGTTACTACAGCAAAACAGAGGATACATGGGAAGGGCTTGTGGTAGAGACTAGCAATTACTCGGATCTGGCGGCGTGACAAGGTATTCATCGGCGCGTTTATGGTCGGACAATGCCCGCATTGTATACGAGTCCTGTGGTAAATCGCTCTTCCTTCGTAAAAGCGGCTTTACTTTGTTTACGTTTGTCATTTTCTTCGCCTATATGATGAAAAATTCATTAAAAAACAGCGAAATTCTTAGCCTTACACAAATATAAATTCATACCTCATTAGCTTTAGCTTCGATTTTTTCCAAAGTAAGCGGAGTTTGATCCGTATCACCATCTTCGTCGGGCGGCGAGTTATCTATATGCTGTGGTGACATATATAATGTGTTATTCGTTGTGCTTTTACTTGTCACAATATAGTTTGGATGCCTCATAGCGAGCGCTTCTACGCGCATCCATGCTTCATCTCGATCTTTAATGAGCTTTCGCTCCCTTTGACGCTCCTATCAAGTGTCCAAAACAGAAAGACCAATTACTATTATTTAATCTTTCTGTCAAATCAAGTCAATGTAGAATTGTGTAGTTTTGAGATTATAATTATAAATTCACATTTAGTATTCAATGCATTACTAACTATACGACTAACTCGTCATTTTTCACTCTATCATTTTTATTTAATACTAAATATCTGTTTCAACGATTTATTTACCCAGTATAAGCGTATTGAAAATATAAACCATTGCTCGCGAACATACCTGATAGTATTGTGTTGTACACTCATCGAATACTTTTTGATTCATTTCCATAAAAAGTTTCAGGGCGTTATAAATTAAACCATGGATTGTCTTATTCCAGTGGTTACGGGAGTTTCTATAAAAAGCTGGATACATTATCGGTAAGATGACGGAGTAATTGTCCGATATCAAGGACATTATGTATTCGTTATTCCAATAATAGAGAGCCCTTTCCGCCACCTGAAAAAAACAAACGAAGCATATAGAAGAAAGAACAATTGTACAAAAAAACGGGATAACAAAGTTGCACGCTTACCTGGAAATGCGGTGACGAGACACATTTGGCTAGTTGCCTAAACAACGGATCCATGACTTTTTGAAATTCAGCTGGCTCGATGACGTCTAAGATCTCTTCAAGTTCGTTCAAGAACATAACTTCTTTAGGGGAATGTGTTTTTGGCCAAAATTTCAGCAAGTTTCTAATCACAGGTTCCGTTAACGACGGATCCTTTTCCAAAAATTGGACGACACAGTACGCTAATTGCGGATGGTACACGGATAATGACTTAGCCTTATGCAAGGGTAGTAGGACTTTTAACAAAAACACCTTGTGCTCTTCCTTTAACGGCAAAGCAAAGCCGTTTATAATACTGTGAAAAAAATAAAGATGAATATAATTTATATATTTGTGCAATTTACAATTTATATATCATTGTTATTAAAGTTATTATTACCTTCCTAAGATTTCAAGCAACTCTGCGATGCCATTGTGATGCTCTGTCTCGTATATAAATCGATAGAAAACATTATTTATCTGTTTCCTAATGTACGCTCTGAGGCCCAGAAATTTTCCGTAAATCCTATGGAGGGTCGTTTTAAGAAAGTCCCTCTCTCTCGGATCCTCAGAATCGAACAACTCTAAGAGCTGTAGCACAAATTTTTGATCTATGTAGCGCCTCGCTATAGATGGCTGGAAGTCCTGCGATTCTAGCAATCGCAAAAAAAATTCGTAGACAAGCTGTAAGTGCGGCCAAGCCGCTTCCAACGTCGGCTCATCCTCCTCCGGATCAAATTCTGCGCCGTTAGGATTTGATGACGGAGGTAACGTTCGGAACAGGTTCACAGCGAACTGCCAGAATTTTCATGATCTTAGTAAAACTTTCAATTTTATTTTCAATATTATTAAAGCGTTTATTTTATTTAAATTATGTTTCTATGCCTTCTTTGAAAATGTAAGACTATGTAAATGCCAAAAAAATATTTTTCATTAAAAAAATTATATATATATAATTTCTATACATTGTTCTATTGTGTGTTGTTTATCGCGTACAGTTTATTTCCATTTTTATACAAATCGAACTTTTTGTCACTTACATAGACTCATTCATCAATTCTTGGAAAAAATATGTGCAATTTGCAAGGATCTCCATGCTTTTACGCACAATATATTAAATATGCTGCTTACCATGTTTACCGCCTCGGGATATATCGCTTCGGTGATAACATTTTTGTTTTTGGTTACGTACTCGACCATCTCGTGGAGGGCAGTGCGCTTTACCTCCTTCCATTTCAAATCTGACAAGGGATCGGATTCGAAGTCGAAGAGGACGCAACATTGCCGTAGCTTCTGTATAAAAAGTTCCTCCCGTTCGTTTCCCTGTTGCGTTTCTGGAATCAGATAAACGGTGATTAATAGGTCACGCCGCACTTGGCAGCTTTTACGATAAATACAGAGCACGATGGATGTATCGCGCACCTTGTCGCTATTAATCATATTAGTCTATATGAATATCGATGTAAGCATATTCGAATATATTCTTTTTGCCCCGCCTGTTTCTTTTTCTGCTGGTGCAACAGATAGCTTTTTCATTTGCCTTCTTGACATAAATGAGAAATGATTCTTGAACGAACTTAAATCCCCCGATAATTTATGTTTCATACTTCAAGATATTATCGACGGAAGTACAAAGTTCTTATTGACGAAATATGATAAATTGGCGATTTTATCTTGCCGTTACATAAAATTATTACAATACATAAAAAACTATATCGTATATAAATACACAGAATATTAATAGCCTCGGTTTTGAAATAATTTTATAATCCTCAATGTGGGAGCAAAGTTAGTTTAACAAAATATTTCTGATAAGGATAAGTATATTTGAAATATAATTTATCGCGTTGATAGAAGTGAAGCACGCGATAATCAATATTCTATTTGCTTTGCTGAACCTTCCAATCTACATAGACAGTTATTGCAGATGTTAATAAATCTCCTTTATTCCTCACGAAAAGGATGACCGTAGGGTTGTTTCGCAGTCGATATTTATGCAAATTTTAATAGCACGTTATAACGAACGGTAAACTTTTGATCCAAAATCTGAAACATGTTCTGCTTTCCTGATTAATCAAGCAGGTTCTGCAGGAGAATCGATAGCGACCTTCAAAATACCGCGACTGTTACCGAGGCATTATTTATCGTCTACTATTCCTGGAAGTTTCCATAATAGAAGTAACAAGATCGATTTATTACGATTCGACATTTCGTGGATGTTTCATCCCCAAACAATATTCTTTTACCAATGTAATACAGATTATATAAAAAATAAAAATAAAAATTGTAAATATTATTTATCGAGATATAATTATTATATTTTGATGGCGAACCGATAGTGTATTTAAATAACGCATTAATTTTGTAATAAAAACTTGACGTGCAATTGAATTTGTGAAAATAATTCGTAAAACTGATTGAAACGACGGAGAGCTTTACCGATTAGAAGAGGTTGCAAAGGTTGATAGTGCAGGGCGAAGGTCACCGGGTAACCCTTGTTCAAGTCCTGGGGCAACACCGTTGCCAAGGCAAGACCCTGATGAAAACTGGGACTTTTGGGCAGAGCACCGCCCAGAGATGGGCTAATTCCACCGACATGAACCATCGCACGATACTATAATATGTGTTACGACCTTACACTCGCACTTTACTCATTGGCGAATCACTTCAAATACACGTCGAACTGAGCAGAGATCTGTTTGTATACCTTTTCATAATAATTTGCAACACTTTAGATTCACGCGCACACACACATACATAAACACATTTTCCAGGATTGGTCTCCTGTTATGTCAAAGTCGCGATCAATAATGTTCCCTGCCTTCGTGATTTTTCTCTTCAATTTCCAAGATAATTTTCGTTATTATATTAGATTGAAATTTTACTTACAGATAACTGATAATTGAGTTTGTAAATATTATTACTTGTATAAGGTAATGTAATATTATTCTCTCTGTGTTAAATTTGTGTGTCCCCGGTTTTTGCGGATTTGACCGACTCGGACGGAAACCAATTTCCGGAGAGTGTTTTTATTTTTTATTATTCGCTTACTCGACGATATTTTATTAGGCCGCGGCGATTGTCGACCTTCAACGAATCACTTTTATTAGCTTCCCACGTTATTTTTCGCATTGCTCGCGCAAAGGAAACGTGGTTTTGTTTTGCCGAACCATGCAGAAATATAACTGTACTTTAAAGTAAATCAACGTGAATCGCGCTTGTTACAGCATGTTGCGAGAATATTTTCGCACAAAGAAATTGTGTCAGTAAATATAATATTAAATTACTGCGTACAAAAATTTTATTTATAAATGTACAAAGCAATATGAATTATACGTAAAAATATTATTTTCCGCTAACTAATAAATCTGATTTATTCTATAAATATTTATTTATTTGTATTTTAATATAATATGTTAAATCTCCATCCCATAATAATTATTATCCGTTTTGCATTTTTTAATTAATATGCGATTTTTCGTATAGTGTATGAGTATTGAATACTCGAATTAAAATTTTTATTTTATCATTATTATTAAAATTATTATTTTATCAAAGCTCATATTATTTTTCACCAAGCTTGTTCACAAAACTATTTTTCTTAATCACAGAACTCACCAACTATTATAAACCTATTCAATTACAAAATTCACTTGCTTAACCGGAAATTGTCTAAACGATAAAATTCACCAACTTTCGACCGGAATCCTTTTAATATACAACATTCACCAACTTTTTAAATTCGCCAGAGAAAACTATTAATATCTCAGAATTTTCCACCACATTCTCTTTAATCTATTATTTTTTTTTTTCAATGCAATTATGCAATCACATTTCCAACAAGTACTTCTAATATTTTCTGTAAAATCCATCCGCCTGAAATAATCCACCTTTTCCTGAATCAGCGTCTTCAAAGTCTTCAGAGCTTCGAAAGCCGATCGGTGTCCGCCCTTAATCGGATTTTCCCACCGATTCTCTCAATAACAATCCCACCACCGACAGAACACCCGGCGTCCGTTCGCCGCTAATTCCCGTCGTTGTTTAACGCTCGCAACAATCTGTTGCTTCGTCCGAGTCAATCGATCGACCAGAGAAAGGCGAGCCTTCCTCACGGCCTTTCTCTCTTCGGGGTGTTCGCGCTGCGAGACCACCCCTACGAAACACCGGCGAGCACTAGGCGGCGCATTCTCGCGGCTCCCCGGAACCCGGTGACCGCGTTCACGAGAGATGGGGGGATGGGGTGAAGGGGGATGGTTGAGGGTGGTCGGGCGAGAGAGGGGGACGGCAGGGAGATTCTGCCTAAGTGGCACCGGCGGTCAATGAACTCGCCGGTCCTCGCCAGGATCTCGCGGGTCATCTCTCGATCGGTCACGGGGTTGATAAACCCCTCCCCTCCCCGTCCCGCTATCCCCCTCGTCGTGGGACTCGATGCAGGTAGAGCCGCGGCCAGGTGGAGCTCTCGCGAGGGTGCGGGCGCCGGTCTCGGCGCGATTGGAGGAGAAGAGATCAACAAGGGATGCTGAAATGGCTGGCGGGCGGAGAGGGGGGGCGACGCGACTGTTTACGTTGGGAAAACGGGGAACCGTGAATCCGAGGCGCTTGCGCGACCCCCGTCGCACGCGCAATCGATATACTCGTGACGTAGGAGGCACTCTCGCACAACCTCGATTGACCGGCATTACATTGGGAAAGGACAGGAGGAACGATTTGTCGTTCTCTTCTCTTCATCTTCTCCGCCGCTCTCGTTTTCGCCTCTTGCTCGTCCCTCTCTTGTTTGTTCGATCATTATCATGTGCCTCTGCTCATTTGCCCGTCCGCTCTTTGCCCTGAACTAATTGTCCAGTTATGGTCATACGTCTGTGTAGCTTCTTGTGTCAATTTCTTTATGTCGTCGATTAAGTTCATTTCAGATTCAAAGTTATTTATAGTAATTGCACAAGTAATATCATACGTCATGCGTAAAGAGATATGTTTGTTGTATGACGTGCAAACATTTTTTTTTGCATTTTAATTACAATATAGAACACCGATAACACAGATGTAAAAAACATTGAATTCCAATGTCCATTTTAATTGTTTTATCTATTAAGATAATAGTATTTTCAAATGGATAAATCTCACTTTTATTATTTAAAATAATACCTCATGTTATATTACATATTATTTAAAATAATACCTCATGTTATATTAAGTTTAGAATAAAATTATCCAAAGAATTATATCCTAAACTTGGCGAAATTAAGAAGAATATTATCTATATATATA